CCTGCTGTATTAATTGTCCTTCCCACCAAGCAGGATGCATTTACCCTTCCCAGTCATAGAATCATGGACTCACAGAATGGTTTGAGTTGGAAGTGACCTTAGAGCACATTCCAGTACCTAGAGGGACTACAGGAAAGCTGGGGAGGGACTTTTGACAAGGGTAGTGAGTGATGGGGTGAGGGGGAATGATTTCAAGCTGCAAAAGGAGAGATTGAGATGAGACCTGAGGAGGAAATTCTTCGCTGTGAGGGTGGTGAGACCCTGGCCCAGGTTGCCCAGAGCAGCTGTGGCTGCCCCATCCCTGCAAGTTTTGAAGTTCAAGTTGGTTGGGACTTGCAGCAACCTGGTCTGGCTGGAGGTGTCCCTGCCCATGGCAAGGCAGAGGAGGAACTAAATATTCTTTAAGGTCCCTTCCAACCTAAATCAGTCTGGGATTCTGTGATGAGGCTGCAAGTGTATCACAGCTCCCAGCAGCCCGTGGGGGGTGAGCCCATGGAGACCAGCTCAGCCATCCTGGATCCTCCCTGTCCCCTGGAGGATGTTTTGTGGTGGGGAGGGACAGGTCCATCCCTGGCTGGGTCCCCCCAGCTCAGCTATGCTGCCCAGTGAGCTGGGGTCTCATGCCACTGACCTGGCAGCTCTGCTGCCATCGCCGCTGCAGTGATGTTTGTGTGAGGGGCTCCCGGGGGCCTCAGGGAGAGGGGACCCCACAGGGAGCTTCTCCACAGACACCATCAGGCAGCTCTCAGCGTCTCACTTGTTGGTGTCACCCCTGTCAGCGAGCCCTGAGTCTTGTCCCACCTTTCTGCTTCTGTGTTGTCCCTGCTCCACCCCTGTCACTGTTTCATCTCCATCTCTGCTCCTTTTCCATCCCTATGTACTCTGGCACGTCTTTTTGTGTCTGTCCCAACACGTTTGGGCTTCATCCCAGAAGAAGATCCCACTGCTGCTCCCGTGCCGCCTTTTGGTGTCCCCTCCCCCCGCTAACCCACACCAGGACCCCTGCCCTGTGCTGGGCAGGCCCTAGTGGAGGGATCGGGGTCTCCAGAACCCAGGCCTGTGACCCCCAGCTCAGGGTGGTCATGAGTACCCAGAGTGCAGGGTCCCTGCTTGGTGTGATGGGGATGTCCCTGCCAGGGGAGGTCCTCCCTCCGTGTGCGGGTGCCACTCGTGTCTCTGCTCCGTGCAGCGGTGCTGACTCCGGGGGCGTCCCTGCCGGGGGCTCGGGGCTGTTCCACCTGCATCCGCACTCAGACCGCCTGTCGCCTCCCGAGCCCTCGGAGCCTCCGTGAGAAGCCCCGGGGGATTCCAGCGGCTCC